TAAGGTTACGCAATTTGATCCAATACGTGATTTTGGATTTCTCGACATATATCGAAATTTCAACTACATCTTTCGCATTGGACAAGCTTTTGTTCGCTACAGCGCCTCATAAACTATACCGATGTTTACTACAACCAGCTATCACAAGTTGTAAAAGGCTGACAGGCCGCATCCAAACATTATTAGGTCGGATTCGGGGTCGTGGGTCGAATGTTGGACATCCTTAGAAAAGATATTTAATGAAGATAACTAATACATACGAAGTAAGCATGGTATTTTACTTTCGATAAATGCATATTATCCCCGTTCACTGAAACAGTGGAGGGGGCCTCGAGAGGCCTAGTGGTCTAAAGCGCTCGACTTTACAGACCACACATATCTGTCCTCCATCTGCGTAGGTTCGAGCCTCGTCTTGACCAGCGTGGATATGTGATAAAATCCGTCAGTAGATTCATTGGGTTGATGGCTCTTTCCGGGTTCTGCCAGCATGATTCCGTCGGTCGGTGGCTCTTTCCGGTTCTTCCTCCACCAAATACGCTAATCACCAAATATGCGCTGATAAATGGCTTTAAACCCCCACAAAACCAAAGCTGAAAAAGATTTGAGGAACCGACTAGAAATGTATAAATAAGTTTAAATTAATTGTCATTGTTTGCCTCTGTCGACGGATTTCACCCTTCAAGCTGCAATAAACATCTCCGTGATTTTAATATTGGCCTCCAACTAGGGTCATCTACCAACATATTCTCATTACTTGTTTCTAAAAATACCTAGTAGTAATTGTAGTGACTGTAATGATGAAAACGTGACACATCGTTTAACACGGTGAAAACGGTACAGTGTCACGTTGTTTTTGGTTAACATCAGAATGATAACGTTGGTTAGGTTTGGACTTTGTGATTATCGTAAGCATAACAAGTCTGCTGATCAATATTCAATTTGAAAGTTACAACATTTGATGAGTCATAATGATTAGCGAATACAAAACCTTGCAAATATTGCAATGTTTGATACCTAATGGGCTGTAACAGTTTCATGAATACGGTAACATAACCGTATCATACATACGGAAACATAACGGTTTTATCCATAACGAAACATAAAAATTTCATACACAAAAAACATAACAGTTTCACACATGTAAACAAAATAGTTTATATTTATTATCATGTAAATCTTCATAAGTTTATAAATAAAAATCGTTTAATAAAATCAATTAAAATGTGGGATTTAGTTATTATGGTGGAAAAAAAGAATAGCCAAAGTGTGTTTTTGGTGATATCCTCAATGCATCGTCCGTCGGCCATCAAAATTACTATTTTCTTCTTTTACTTCTTTTCAAAACCGCTTTTCAACTTGTCTTAAACTGCTGAGTTAGTTTTTCACACTTTATAAAATTGTGTTTTATGGACATGTATTATCAAACTATTGTACTGAGTTGTTACCATATCCATTGTTTCTTCCATGGCAACGATATCAAGATTATGAACAGTATGGCTTCCCTGGTAAGAGTATGGTTTCCATCACATCATTTGAAAACCTGTGTTAAACTTCTTCGCTAGAACAGCTCAGCTAATTTCGACCAAACTTAGTAGTTCTTTCTAGGTCATGCGCTTTCAAAATTGAATATCTGACGGCTCTTCAACCAATGCGATGCTTTCTTATCATCCAGATCAAAAATTAAATGTATATTATTCTTTAAATGGCCTAGACAAAATTTATAAACGTAATAGAAAGTTTTGTTAGAATTAAAACTTAAGAACACTTTTTTATGCGATTCAGTAGATGGCTACATTGTTCTTCTAAAACTTTAGCATTGTAGTCCGTTGAATACACTGCATTTGTTGCTCAGAGTGACTTTAACTTGTGGTTTGTGAAAAGACGCCCGCAAACAAATTTCCGGGGTGTGTGAGAGCGCAAATATGCAAGTGCCGCGCCCTCCTCCACATCTTTTAACCGATGTGCGGGCGCCTATGGGTTTGTGTATCATGAAAATATATATATATATATATATATATATATATATATATATATATATATATATATATATATATATATATATATATATATATATATATATATATATATATATATATATATATATATATATATATATATATATATATATATATATATATATATATATATATATATATATATATATAGTTCTGTTTTTTGGCTATATTCTCATATATCTGAAGGTTGTAACAATCATTAGGAATTTAAACCGTCCTTATTGGTTATACTTGTGATGTAGCAAATATAGCGGTTATCGGTTCGTAGGAAATAGTGTGATACCTAATAACCAAATCTATTTTTTGCAACAATATCGATAGTTTACCATTTCGGTCATCAGTGGAATTGGTAAAATATATTTCTTTTGTCGATTATAATATAACTTTCCATTTTTATCGTAACCAGTATCCTTTCCATTCCCTCTGCGATCTCTTTCATTTTTTGACAAGTGTTTTTTTCTTTTAAATAATTTTTCTCTTCCTCGAAAAGGGTCTTTAGTTTCCCAATATCCATTTTTGGCGAGTTTCCAGCGCTTTCTGTATTTTTTAAAATTGTTTTTCTGATGTCTTTTTTTTCATTTCGTGATACTCAATTATGATCAAAACACAATCATCATAGTTTATGAGTGTTATTTATTGCTTTGCTTATAGTGTCATCAATGTTTTTCAAATAGCAGATTGCAAATAGCACTATACCATCATGTTTTGTTACTTTGTTATCTGCCAGTTTGTCCTTGCACATGTTAAAAATTTTGTCCAGGAAAAACAAGTAGTTCTTGGTGTAGTTGGTACTATTACTGTACATTTTCTAAATTCAGTTTTCGAGGAGCACGACTGCATTAGCATTTGTGTAATTTTCCTTTCCTTACTTTTTCTTTTCAATATCTTTATGACTAGTTTGCAGTATTTTTGCAAACTGTTGTATTTTTCGTAGTATTTCTTATCAGCAATGTTGCTCTGTTACTTTTCAGCCACATTCCTTACATAATCCCATTATCTGTGTATTTACTCTCTTCAAATAAGTAATATATTTTTTCTCATTCTGCACTGCATTCACGGGTGTCGATGTTTGTTTCGATGTTATAATCATTAAATGTAGTAGTACCGTATGCAAGTATGGCATCATGTTTTCTTTTATATTTGACATTTTAAAATTTCAATATTTGTATCCTGTCCTGTGTTACTTTCTCATAGAAATAGCTTTTGACTACACATTTTGCTTTAATCCAGTCCAAATATTAACTCTTCATATATCGACATTGCTAATTTCATTGCTAAAGTCACGAAATGTTTATCATTTCCTTAAACATTGTTGAGTTGAATATATGTTTGGGGCCACGAGTGGCCGAGTGGTCTAAAGCGCTGTCCGTTACGGATCACTGCCATCTCACCTCTGTCTACGTGTGTTCGAGTCTAGGATTCGGCGAATGTGGATATGTGAGAAAGCTTGCCAGTAGCTTCTCGTGGGTCGGTGGTTCTTTCCGGTGATTTTCCGGTTTCTTCCTCCACCATTAATACTGGCCGCCATGAATAGCCTATCGTGTGCTGAAAAATGGCGTTAAGCACAACAACAACAACTGAATATATATTTCGTCGTGCCATTGTCAGAATTAATTCATACCCTTGAAGTGTTCTACAAAATTCTGATGCTCTGCGTCCTCGCGCCGCCATTGCTTTGCTTGAGAATTGTCTTCTTGATCTAAGCGTAAACGTTTTAGCAATTTCAAGGATTTTACACAAGCAGAACAAAACACCGCCACCCACCCCCCAAATAGAACTGGGGTAGTAATTTTAAATTTTGATTTTTAGTATTCTTGTATCCCTCAATGAGATTTTAAAACGCAAAAAATGATGGTCTAGGGCTTATATGGTTAAGATCTATCTATACTAAAGTATTGATGATCAAATGACTTTCACTTTTAAGTTTATCCCATCACTACACAAAGAAATGATTGGTCAAGGTCTTTGAAAGGATTAGTCAAGATCTTTGAAATTTCATAGCACTAAATAAAAGCTCCGCTGTTCCTTCCCCCAAATTGGTATACTTGCAGTTACGTATAAAACAAGTGCCAAGGTCGCTCGCGTATCTGAATTCATCTTTTTTTTATCAGTATATAACATGACGGATGCGTTGTTCGTGCTCATATACAATATCATAAATTTCTGATCTGTAATACATGTAATAATATCTCATGACCTAACAACACCATGGCCTTATGCAAAGGAAAATCGAAACGACAGGGCTATTCTAATTCAAAGTAAGTCCAGTACACTAATCAGTCCTGCTGTGAAATAAAATTAGTTTTCCTCCTCATGCTCTTTATACAACCTTATATTAGCGCTCATTTCAAATACAAGTCACGAATTTACTCGCCAAAACTCGCAAAAGATAGATCTAATTCGAGTTTTCCTATACATTTATTTTTGGAATCATCACGTACGTAACATCTCTCTCTCTCTCTCTCTCTCTCTCTCTCTCTCTCTCTCTCTCTCTCTCTCTCTCTCTCTCTCTCTCTCTCTCTCTCTCTCTCTCCCTCTCTCTCTCTCTCTCAGCTTCTGACCAATGTTGATCATAACCCGTCTGAAGTTACTGTGACAAAACTCATAATATTACTACACATTTTATTTAGGCTCAGAGATTCTCCCACCGTCCAAAACAGCATCAACAAACGATGACTCGAAATTTTAAAACTGCTGTGTACATGTATATAGATCAACTCCAATCATATTCCAAGGTTACAAGTCTCTGCCTCGTTCGGTGTTACAGTCAGGTGAGTTCTTCACGTTACGAACTCAGTCACGAACAGACGGACAAACCTAGAATAAGCGAGCCCTTTAAAGTGCAGGCACAGACTGCAAGTTTTTAGATGAGGAAACTAATCGGACATCTGATAGCCAGAATATTAGGGGCTTCGTATTTCCATAAGTTATAAGTCTTCGTATTTCTACAGGTTATGATTAGTCTTTGTATTTCTACAGCTTATAGACCGCTCCGGTAGCATAGTGGTTAAAGCGTCCGCCTCGGATGAGGAAGGTCGCGGGTTCTAACCCCGGCCTGGTCATACCAAACACTTTAAAAATGGTGCTAACAGCTGCCTCGCTTGGCGCTCAGAGGTTAGTGTTAGAACTGGTCGGCCTGGTGTCAGGATAATGTGACTGGGTGGGACATCATACCACATGTCTGCGGCATGATGCCCCAGTGCTAGACATCACTATTAAACTGTCATACTGCAGACATCGTAGTGATATGACAGAAAAATTGTTTAAAGCTACGTTAAAAATCTAAATCACACACATACTCTACTGCATATGGTTAGACTATGTATATAGACCAACAACATGAAAATCACTGACTAGAATGCTGCCTAGCAAATCCGTGTTTGAAAATCATCTGGAATCCCAACCTGATTTTTTTCACCAATCTAGACTGTTATCCATACGTTTTCGAAAGATTTCTTTTTCTTTCAATGAGCGATACTTACACATCGCAAATGGTATTTCAGAGCAACAGCTTGTTACCTCACGTTATTTTTTTTTATTAACACTCTTTGATCAACTTTATACGTAGGATGAGCAGACTTTTATCAAACATTACACTTATTCTGAATTTATTATTGCGGTAAAATGATGTCTGAATCGTAGGACTTTTGTAACGAAGCAAACAATTCTGGCCATCACCACACATTCAAAACAATTCTGCGTCCCCCTCTAAATAATAAAAGTTGTTTGACGGAAATTTTGCGCCCACACTGGGCTTGTAAACCCACCTCATCCCGTCCTTCCCCACGCGGTTGCAGCAGTTGCTTGGACGGTTACTATGCACAACCTTCAGAGGCCATATTGCTCAGGTTTATTTAAATCAAACTTCAAAGATAGTCATAAGGTAACAAGAGTTCATACATTCGATTATGAACGATATTTATGCATATTAGGTTATCGTGCACCTTATGGTACAGGTCTTCCATACCCTATTTAAAATATGTCTTGACTGGAGAAAGTGAATAAGCTTATTTAGCTCAAGCCAAAACAAAAACCCCCATGAAACTTTACATTTAATGTAAAGTAGCTGGAGAAAAACAACAGTTAGAAGACATTTTATGGGCGTATTTGTAAGGGACCCGCATATGCATACAAGGCCCCTAAAATACGAGGGGCGGGTTGAATTCACAGCTGCATATTTTGAACCAGAATCAAGAAGATTACTACATTTTCGCTTTTGAAGCCATGGTCGCTGTACATAATACATTAATATATTCTGCCCATTCCAACCTCTGAAAAATCAAGTGAGAAATAGGTGAAATAAGTGTGCTTGAGTTAACTCCCATTCCAAGCATGTACATTATCTGCTATGAACCATGCGCTAGATAGAAAGTTTGTTTAATTAGGTTGCACTTTAACCAATGAAAGTTAGTTTTATCCATTGTTTACATCCAATACTTTGCTGTGATGACACTTAACCACTACCAAAAATGTTCACTTCAAAGTCTGAATGGAGCAAACGAAAAACATAATAAAAATGACAGAATGAAATACTGTTGAAAACATATCGATAGCAGCTATAATGTTTAACAGGATTAGTTTTCTCACCGTTTTCTCTGCATTCTTAGTGTATTCCGTGTTTTACGAAGGACTAGACCTCTCTCCGCCACATGTATATTCCTGCCGAATGGCCTTTGTTGCATCTAGCAGGTACGTTGGTCTCTGATTTAGATGTTACAGGTGAAAGATCCAGCATTAGGAAACTCTAGATGGAACCATGCAAATATTCTGCAGCAAGAAGTAGAATGCAACGGGGACAGTTCGTGTAGAGAAGTTCAATTTTTATAAGACTCTGAGGACTACCCAAAGTACCTGAAATATCAATGTACTTATAATGTTGATGTAAACAATAAATTCGTGTATAAACAAAACTCACTTAATGTTCTCGCCGAAAGGAAAAGAGAAAAACAAATATAATTAATACCTACACACAATACAGCACCCACATTCAGGTGCGAATAAACCAAAGGTACGTGTGAACGGATAGAAACATAGTAAATCTTAAATATACCAACTTTTCGAACCAGACATTTTTGTATATGGATGCTATCCGGATTCCACATCCTCATTTCTGGATCATGACTATTGTGTTGTACCTCTAGAACACCATATTTTGCATACTCATCATTGCAAATTACTGTCACATTTTGCCTACTCAGCATTGTAAATTACTGTCACATTTTGCATACTCAGGATTGTAAATTAGTCACATTTTGCATACTCAGGATTGTAAATTACTGTCACATTTTGCATACTCAGGATTGTAAATGACTGTCACATTTTGCATACTCAGCAATGTAAATTACTGTCACATTTTGCATACTAAGCATTGTAAATTACTCTCATTATGCATACTCAACATTGTAAATTACTGTCACATTTTGCATGGCTGCTTGTAAAAACAAGACAATCATAATAAAATAAAACTTACTAGTCTTTGCAGATTTCTCTAATCTTTCAAAGCATTCGCCCGCTTGATTGACTGCTTTGATTCGGTTTTTTCATGACACAGCAACATGTGAAAGTCCATTATTGTTGAGAAAGCTGGATTTTTGCCCAGAACTACACCACTACAGGTAACAGCTACTGCTATCAGAGTAAGTTTCGAACCCGCACACTTTCCATCGCACGCTAACCACCGAATCTCCTGTCCCGATTTTAATAAACTTCTTGCTGGTCTTTTAGTTTTCTTCTGAAATGCTCAGGTTTTTTTTTATATTTTCCAATACGCTAAAGATATAAAAACACGTATTTTCTCTAATCACTGAGTACTAATCATATTTCTGTTCATATATGTATCTATTTTACTATTATATGACTACAGCATATAAGACTTATATAGATGTTCGTATTATCTGTAATTTTGTTCACAGAAGTATTACAGGTAAATTGACTTCACTCGAACTGTTTATCTGAAGTATTGATACTCATTTCAGAAGTCGAAATGAAATCGCAATCTCACGCATAGTGATGTTCATAAATTCTGTGAGGTTCCTTAATATATCAGATCTTATCACGATGTACTTGTAAGAACTATTAATTTTAGTTCAATTTATTCGCCTGTTTTGATACGTACTAAATTTAGCGCACTGGGTGGCACCAAGCCTGATGACGTTACTGGTTACAGTTTAACAGTCACAAAAAATAAAATATTATTTTAACTGGTCAATTCAGCAACTGCACTTAAATTACGAGAACTTTAGAATAAACATTCATAAATCTAAAAGGCAATGAAAAAATACATTTTTCATATTTGTTTTGAATATAACCCAAGGTTACAAATTTTTAGTAATGTTGAATTAACATCAACGACATTATATGTATTGACCATGTAACTAATGTGCTTATGTCATATTCAACATGAGCAACACCTGGTACCATGTTATGATATAAAACTATTTACAGCTAAGTATGCATCGATGTTGTGTTGGAAACAGTATGTGATTGCATTGGGAGTGGGATGGTAGAATTTGATGTATGATTGGCGATTGTTGCAAACTCGAGCTATTTAGGTACTTTTATCGGAAAATAAAGATGGGTTATAACTGTACTTAAAATGGTAGGGTATGGTACAATAGAGCATTCACACACATCCAGCCCCCCCCCTCTCTCTCTCTCTCGTACTGTCCGCTTCCTAAATATTAACCGAATCTGTTCTACTACCAACTGACTGTGTTTGTACGTGAATAGAGAGTGAAAATGCTATTGCTAATTGATGTACCGTATGCAAGTTTGTATTGACGTTATTAGAAGATGAAAATAAATGTAATCTATTTTGAATATTTGTGAAGAATTTATAATTTGGCTGGTGAGGAATTTAAGAATTCTTCCTGTGTTAACTGCAGTCTTTTAAGAAAATAAAATGGTATGTCTAAAATTAACTTCTTGTTACCAGTTTGCAAAAGAAATGATTGGTTGCAGTTTTTTAATTTATTTTTCCCCCACAGGTTTCTTTTTTAAATACAGTTTTGTGTTACACGATGATAAATCGTATTCTATTTTTGTATATCAAAATTCAATACAGTATGTACGCATTCCCTTTAGACGTATCAAATGTACTCACTGTTATAACATGCAACAACTGCGAATAGCGACTATAATAAGCATAAGCCATGGAAATCTTTAGCCCCAGCTCGAACTCGACGAATTTCAACTCTTCTGAAATTTCTTCTCCAAGACAAAGACCATGAGACAACATATCATTCTTGAGTTTCCCAATGCGATCTACGCTCTTTGTACCTCTCAGAATTTGATGAGTACAGTCTAAATCTGATATTTTAGCGCCTTTTGTCGCTGTAGATCTGTCTCGTGGCTATTAGCAATTGGTGGCTCATAGTAGACACGTAAGAGCGACGAGGAGTACTCATTCGTTCAGTACATGTTCAATTCGCTTCGATGGAGTTAAAACGTACGGGTTATGCAAGTTAATGACCTAGATGACCGACTCTAAATAGAAAATTTTAGAGTTTCGAGACAGGTGAGATATTTTTAAAAAGTAGAATGCACATATAGAACAACATGGGTAATCTAAAAAATTATTCAGTAATGATTGACAGGTGAGATATTTTTATTTAAACTTTTGACCAAATAGTTAAACATTATAAAAATAAAGATAATCAAAATTAAAAACGTATCGACGTATTTCGTATGACACTAATCAGATGAACTCGGAAGGCTATTGCATATCTTAACTAAATGAGGCATTACAAGAATTGGTTGATTTTTGGGTGGTGGTGGTGGTGGCAAATCTTCCATGTAGCTCTATATGCAATATCTTCTTGTAAACAACACGATTTAAAACAATATATAGTACAAAAAGAAAACAAAAACCAAAAATATCCGTAGCAAGAAATGCAATTCTACGTTTCCTTCAAATGTCAAAACGATAATTTGGGTAATATAGCCTTTTTATGGAAAGAATCTGACTTTGTTCAAAATATTTAGCACCCAAATTTTTCCGAGAACACCAAGGTTATCAGAGGGCAAAACCATTTTTTTTAAAGCACATCTTTATTAATTATTT